ATTACAAACTGTGTGAATAACGTCGTTGCACAGGAGAATTCTTGCTGCAGCCTTGACTTGTCTTCCCCACAAAACAAGACCAACACTCCCACACAACAAACCTCCACCCAAAAAGAACTGCAACAAACTAAGTTACTACGCAAGCAACAAGCGATGACAGTCATATGTTCAAACGTACCAGAACCCACCAGCGAGTCGTTAAAAGGTCGACAAGCCGAGAGCAAAATCGCTGGACTGAGATAAGCTGCGCACTAGGACTAAACGTTCTCCCAACTAGTCTTACACGTCTGTCACGAAACCCATCGTCTCCTCACGTAGGGGAACCTCGGTTACTGCGAGTAACATTTGGCAACACAAAGGACTTGGAGGATGTTCTCTTAGCAAGCCACAGTCTACCGAACTCTTCTCTCAGTGTCCGCATTTTTCCAGACATGCCATGGAAGGAAAGACAAAAGCGAAAATCCGACCCAACCGCGTCTCGTCAAAATGTAATGAAGAAAGTGGTGTTGGTTCATGGTGTGCCCGAACTGAAACATGGCGACACCAGTGAAAGACAAAAACACGATATTGATGAGTGGCCCTACATCACAGAACTCTATGGCATGCAGAATGTTGTGGCATTCGACGTCAGCCGCTTAGCTTCCTCCCCAAACTATCAAGGGAGCGGGCCGAAAATTTTGAAAGTTCCCTTGGCAACGCCGGAGCTGGCATCAATGGCAATTAACGTGTGGTACCACAGCAGAAGGCTAGGACCACCAGAAGTACGACTGAGACCATTCCTGCAAGCAGTACAGACCACTGGTACAGTTGAGTCAGACCTGGATTTTCCGACCATAGACCAGCCAAGCGTGCAAACACTCGTGTCAAAAAACGTGGGCAGACCGGCATTGTTTGTGCCGGTCAAACACAGCGAACCCACCTCCTAATGCGGCAACAAATGCAATGCTGCTACACAAACGCCCAAGGGCTTTACTCCAAGTTGCCGGAATTGCGCCATCGGCATGAAGCAGCAACTTGGGACATCATAGCATTAACTGAAACCTGGCTCTCAAACGAGATTTTGGATCCAGAAATTGAACTTAGTAAAATGTCAGTCATTCGAAATGATCGTCCATCTCGCGGTGGTGGCGTTGCTATCTACTACCGAGATCACCTGAAATGTGAAGCTCTCACTGAGCATTCCCTTATTATCCCCGACGCCTTATTTTGCCGGTTGTAGCTATCCGGTCCCGATGGTTGTCCTCAGAAGAAGACAAATGATGCTTGCCTCATAGCAGTTGTCTACAGGCGACCGAACTCTTCCGCCGACAGCGATGATATTCTGTTAAATGCTCTCCAATATGCTATGTCGAAAAAGTACTCACACTACCTAATAATGGGTGACTTCAGTGTACCGTCAATAGCATCTGTGTTCCCAAGTGGGCCATGCTTCAACTCAAAACTCCTTGAGTTCTTGACTATGGCAGTTTTGTATAACCATGTGGATCAACCAACCAGACACCGCGGTTCAAACAAGCCTTCAATACTTGATTTAATCCTGACTAACGATGAGTTAATGGTTGAGTCGGTTTCATACAACCTCCCGCTAGGTTGTAGCGATCATTCAGTTCTAACGTTTGTTTATGTGTGTTATGCCAGTATGGTTGACAAAGAACCAGAAACCCGACGATTCATCACCAACTATTCCAAGCTTCACACTATAGCGACAACCGTTGACTGGGACCTTTAGATGCTCACTTCGGCGAATGATGCCTGGCAAGTGTTGAAAGGCAAGATAAACTGGGTCCTACAATCAGCTTCAAAAGACGTACCATTACGAGTTTCGCGACGGAGCAACAACTGGATCCGGAGTAGAACACGTAAGTGGTTGAATAGGCGAGACGAGGCTTGGAGGGGTCATTTGCTAGGTCCAAGTGATATCACGTGGAATCATTACAAAACAGTCAGAAACTACTGCACCACTCCTTAAAGCTGACAAGTACGAATGGCAGGAAACTATGGTACGCAAATTTACTAGCAATCACAAACTGCTCTACCGGTATGTGAATGACAAAAGGAAGGTTAAGACGGGAATACCACCACTAGAGACGGTCAATGGCCTAACGGTTACTGAAGAGGAGACCGCGGACGCATTGCTCATGCAGTTTGTCTCAGTGACTAGACACACCATGGAACCATCGCCTTGCTACATCCCAGCAAATGTCGTCGGCTTATCCACGGTCAACTTTAGCCCTACATCTGTGGCAAAGAAACTACAGTCGCTCAGGGAAAATAGTGCGCCTGGAATTGACAAGATCTGTCCGAAAGTACTTAAAACCCTTGCACCCACCATGGCAGTCCACCTTGCAACCTTGTTCCAGTTTCTATTTGATTCTCATACACTTCCGTCTGAGTGGAAACGTGGACTTATCACTCCGATATACAAGGGAGGTAAGCGGTCAGACCCTGCCAACTACGGACCTATTACTCTCCTTCCTGTTCTATCAAAAGTGATGGAGTCTACAATCGCTGATGAAATGGTGAGATATTTTGAAAGTCTACAAATCATCTCCAACCTCCAACATGGATTCAGACGCGGACGATCTTGCCTCACCAATCTACTACTTGCTCGGGACTCATGGACCAGGGCTGCTGACGAGGGAGTTCCCGTAGATGTGATTTACTCAGACTTTTCTAAGGCACTCGACAGAGTCAATCACCCAGCACTTCTCCGAAAGCTTGCGGCCTATGGTATCCACGGATCCTTGCTCACATGGTTGGAAAGTTACTTATACGACAGAAGAATCGAGGTAAGGATCGCCAACACCCACTCCGATAGCCTATGCGTCACTAGCTGCGTACCGCAAGGATCAGTTCTCGGTCCGTTACTCTTTTTTGTCTATATCAATGACCTCCCTGCCAACATTCAATCACCTATGCAAATATTCGCCGACGATGCTAAGATGTGGCGAGCTATTCAGTCAACATCTGACCCTGTCTATCTGCAGGATGACCTGAACCGGATTCACGAATGGGCAGTAAACAACCAACTACCCCTGAACCCCGAAAAGTGTCACCTGTTGTCGCTGCGCAGTAACTGCAGAAACACATATCACCTGGGGCAGCGTGTTATAAAACAGGTGAGCAACGAAAGAGACTTAGGGGTCATGGCGCAAGAAGGTCTGGGTAATTCGCTCCAATGTTCAAAGGCAGCTAACATAGCGAACTTAAACTTGAGGCTTTTGAGGCGAGCGCTCGGTACCTTCGAGCGGTAACTCGTGCCATTATTGATTAACGCCTACATTCGTCCCCACCTCGAGTATGCGGTTCAGGCATGGCGTCCGTGGTTAAAACGGGACATTCGTCTCCTGGAGCAACCACAAAGAAGAGCCACTAAGGCAACACGTGGTCTATCGGGCCTTAGTTATGAACTGCGCCTTCGTTCGATCGGCCTGTACTCCTTAGAATACCGACGACTTCGCGGTGATCTGATCCTCACTTACCGGATACTAAGAGAAGAGGACCATCCATGTAAGTCGCTGTTAACATTATCTGCCGACAAACGATGCCGAGGCCATGCACTAAAACTTGTGACTCAATATTCCCGTTTAGATTGTAGAAAGCTTTTTTTACTCTCTTAGTGTCTGTCCGCACTGGAACGCACTGCCATCGCATGTGGTGAACGCACCAAACATCGAGACATTCGAAAGACTATTGGACTTGAACTTACATGATACACATTATATAACGGTATGACAAACTGCAGTGTCTAACTTACTGATATTTTTGTGTCACACCTGAAACTTTGTTTTCTTCCATTTGCCATCCTGTGGGTCTTGTAAAGTTATTGCTTTTTATCCCACCATACACTATTGAACTATTGAACCATTACCGCTGACCTTTAAGATGGGTACGCTTGAGGTTGGGCGACCAATGTAAGGGATTTATGAGTGCTCCTTTGAATCCGTTACACACAAGCACACACTCTTGTTTGTGGCTTTTCAAATGGGCATATACCGAGGGTTTTATAAGAGTCTTTCGATTCTGCTCAGTCGCTCGTAGATCAGCCGCGCAGGTCAGGGTGACGTTGGAGCGCACTAATTTGCCGACCCACCAATGGCATGTAAGTCTACTGTATTTACTCACCCACGCATGTCTGGGGGTGTGAATACGACGTGAGGACGCATAGCGGTGCATGTGTCCTTGAAATATGTTAAGTACCCCTGGCGATTTTGACACCGCTCAGTTCAGATTGGGTCGCTGCCGACGTTTTTGGCTGGTGGTTTGCAACATCTCGACAGCAGTGCATAATGCATTGGCTACCGTGTTCAAATGTTGGTGGCGCTTCGACAGTTGCTTAATGTTATCCCAGCAAATGATAAAAGGGTTAGTAACAACGCTGTTGTTTCGACGATGCATGTCCACACAGGCAAATGCATGACCTTGACGATGAATGCACTTGCCGCACTGTGTCAACCAGCAGCTGAATGCAGCTCATCCGGGACCGAAGTTGGTCCTGAGGTCAGATGCGAGCGTCACTTGGTTGTAGCCGCTAGTCATGCACACAGACGCACAGCTGTGAACCAGCCCGCAGTCCATTGATTGGTCTCGGCGCGATCAAATCATACGCTGCGCTGAGGCCGTGTAATATGATAACCAAACCGATCCATGTCAGTTCGCTTTCTTAGCAATGCTGAAAGAGCATGCACCGGTGTCCACGGTTGATCTGCAAACGCAGTCTCGTGACGTGCCAGCAGATCAGCGCGTAATGCTTCTACGACTCTATTTTGAGTGCCATTCCAACGCCGCAGCAACAGCACGCCTCTACAACACTACCCACTGCACATTGAGGCCGGTTAACCCGCAGTACGTACTCCAACTTGTGAAGAAATTTAACAAAACTGGGAGCGTGTGCAACGCCAAACGAACTGGGCGGCCTCGTACTACCACGGATGAGATTTCCGCTGGTGTTGTTGTCGAAGAGGTTCGTCGAAATAGTCATCTCAGCATTCGGAGAATCGCCCAACACTGTGCCACTACACCATATGCTGTGCACCGGATATTGAAGGAAAGAAAATTCCGAAGGTATGGTGCATTGCAGGTACAAGTGTTAAAGCCAGACGATTCGGTGAATCGTCTTACATTCGCTCGCTTGTACCTGAATACCTTGGACGTGCATTCCATCATATTTACCGATGAGGCCATTTTCCGTCTGCATGGTACACAAAAGCGGCATGTTTGGGCCACCAATAACCCACGGCAATGCATCGCTTCCCGTGTGCAACATGGCACACAGCTCATGGCCTGGGCTGGACTAACAAGTCGAACAATCATCGGACCTTTCTTCTTTTCTCAAAATGTGACGGGTAAGTTGTGTAGCAGAACTAATACATCACACTTCTTAGCCTCTTCATACAAAGAAATGTTGCAGACGTGGGTGATTCCGCGGTTGCATGTGGAAGGACTGTTGAGTACGGTTTGGTGGCAGCAGGATGGTGCACCGGCCCATTCAGCACAAACCGTGCGTCAGTTCCTGGACGACACATTCGGTCATCGATGGATTGGTCGGGGAGGACCAATGGAGTGGCCGGCACGTTCACCGGATATGAATCCCCTTGATTTCTTCCTTTGGGGATACCTGAAACGAAGAGTTTATAAAGTGAAACCCACGTGTGTGGAAGAACTGAAGCGGAGCATCGTGGAAGAATGTCGCGCGATATCGGTTGACGCATTGCAGAGGGTTATAGCCAACAGCATCCGGCGAATGCTGCTGTGCCAGCAAAACGGCGGTGGGCATTTCGAGCATCTACTGCGTTGATTGTTATACTTGTTTTACGTACTGCATTTCAATACATCTTTCGCATAACCATTGACTTCAGGACTAAATCGCTGCTATGGCTAATGGTGCCGATATTGCGTCAGTGTGGAGGGAATATTGTGGGAGTTGCCTGAAGAGAACAAGACGTTAACGTGAGCAGCGTACACGGAAGAAATCGTTGTACCTATAGATGGGCCTCAGCGCCGAAAGGTCTCGTTGGCCGACAGGGTTGGGGTGATTACACTGGCTAGATCGTAGATAAAGATACCATGGCATTCCACATAGCCCGTCAATGCGTCGGCCAGAATTTCTTCCATAACTTTGGCGAACACCGGGAGAAGATTACCGGGCGGTTATTGGCAGGCTCGTACCGACTTGCTCCCTTGTGAATAGGATTGATGAAACCTAGTTTCCACTTCGACGGAGCTATGTTGCAGTCCAGAGATGGCTGAAATAATCCGGCTAGGTGCGTGATTGTTACCTTTAGTGCTTTTGGGGTGGATATTGTCCACTCCAAGAGATCTGTGTGTACGCAAGGATAATGGCATTTTCAGTACCGTTTCCGCAGTGAATGTTACGCCGGATCAAACTGCTAGTTTGTGAACTTGTCCTCACGCACCAAGTGCACAGAGTCGTTCGCCTGAGTTGCGTACACCGTCCAATTTTCTGAACTGCGATTGTTTCTATAACCATGCCAAGTCCGGTCCCTCAAGGCCATATATTTTCGTGTTCGGCTTCTCTGAAAAGATTTCGTTTTGAGGGGAGGATGAAAAGCTTTCGGTTCTGATGCCTTCGCGACTAGGGATGTGAACGTGCCCACAAATTTGTCCCAAGCTGTTTCTGGAATACACGGACAGGGTGCGATTATGTGCAATTGATGGCATCTTCTTGGGCTTAGCTTAGACACAGCTCCTCGATCGTTTCTGTGAAATGACGCATACAATGCGATTTCATCGGCAGTCCTTCTCCACAAACACGTGCAGCGAGTAGTCTCTTAATTGGCATACACGGCAGCATGTAACGATCATTTCGGTTGATATACACCTACGTTTTCCTGAGAGACTGAGCGACACTGTCAGCCTTTCATGTTACACCGTCACGGTCACTGTTAAACAAATTAGACAGCGTGCACCCCACTTGGTTCCTGCAATTGCTATCAAGACTGTGACGGGAGTAGTCTGTCAACGACAGCTTTTCCGGACTCATTTATGCAGAAGTAGCATCTCATATTTTCACCGTCTAATTGTTACGAATTCTTATTTTGCTAAGGTGGTTTATGTGAAGGTAACATTCTGTCTACAACAGCGTTGTCACTAACCCTTTTATCATTTGCTGGGATAACATTAAGCAACTGTCGAAGCGCCACCAACATTTGAACACGGTAGCCAATGCATTATGCACTGCTGTCGAGATGTTGCAAACCACCAGCCAAAAACGTCGGCAGCGACCCAATCTGAACTGAGCGGTGTCAAAATCGCCGGGGTAATTAACATATTTCAAGGACACATGCACCGCTATGCGTCCTCACGTCGTATTCACACCCCCAGACATGCGTGGGTGAGTAAATACAGTAGACTTACATGCCATTGGTGGGTCGGCAAATTAGTGCGCTCCAATCTCACCCTGACCTGCGCGGCTGATCTACGAGCGACTGAGCAGAATCGAAAGACTCTTATAAAACCCTCGGTAGAGGAGGGCCTATGTGTTGCGGACATTGCAAATGAGCAACACTCACATGGACGCTTGATAACTATTCGCGGTCACTCCCAGTACGATTGGTACTCTGGCCGGACACTAGGTCTGCGTGGATTGTGAACCCCTGGTGAGTGAGATTGCAAAGCACTGTCATCCGAGAAGAACGAATCTGTTCCCATGACTTTGAGCTCCAGTCACGGTGTGGATACTGACACCTCGGAAGGAAAATTTCTAGAGTGCATGGTAACCTGTATTCATGCGTCTGGTCATTGAAGTTGTAGTCAGTTTGAGCCTCAATAACGGCGGAATGTTCGCACCAGTGCACTGGGATCAGGTGGGTTCACAGTTGTGCATCATACATCACCATCCCAATGGTAGAAAATTTATCCCCAAGAACCCTAATGAGGTGAACGTGTAACACTTTCATTTGTAGGTAAGAATAACAGCCAAACTTTCCATGTTACGAGCATTTGCATGTCGAATAGTAATTGCGCAATAATCGACGAATTACTGGCAAAGTCAAATGTTACCTCCTTTCCGACTGGCTCACTACTGGTGTCCTTGTGGGTCCACGCATGTCGGCAGAAATTTTATTCGCACCATCTATCCATCAGGATGCATGGAACACTGCGTTTGAGCGTCGTAGTAATTCTGCATCATTCTTGGCCCTTGAGAGCAACTCATGCATAACACTGCGCTGGACCACGAGTATGTCACGACTAGGCATACGAAGGAGACCGCAGGAGTATGTGCGGCGGAGAGATCGAGAGAGTACTGAGCAATTCAAAGTAAAAGAAGTCGACATAATTAGATTAAAGGATGTATGGTCATAGGTAACATGGTCTAGCCCAACAGCGGTGAATAAGCATCATGAATGCAACATAATATATATATATATATATATATATATTCCTCATCGCTTAGAGCTCTAAGCGTCTGGATTTCACTTGGCATTAGCTACGTGCAACATGCTGAAGTTATGTTTGAGAGTAATGCGGCGAAACAATGCTTGGTTTATGTCACTTGTCGAAACTCCTGACTGGTTAACGAGGCTGCCAGAAATACATCTATCAGGATTTGGTGCATGTATCCGGAATTATTTTACGGTAACGCTATTTGATTCAAGCGCATCGTTACCGTGACAAGGCAGCCGCAAATGGCTTGTGTGGAAAATAAACATACCTGCCTCTTCGATTGCGAAACACCTGATGGAAACAGATCATCTGGTCATCTGGCGTTTAGGGTCATCTATCGCAACCCAAACGCCAGGGTCCTCACGTTTTGTCGAGGCAGTTGCCATAACAAAGCATTGTCCAACATTGGGGTGTCCGGGGTGCCAGGGAGGATTAGCACCTCTGGTAGGGGAACTGCCTTACCCTCCGGAGTAGTCCGTCTATCCTTGGTCTCCACCTGTGACCCAGCTCTCACCTGTGGTTCCAAGAAGATGCTTTCACACGGCAGCTGAAACACGCCGGTCAACCGTCAGGCAAGCGGGTTAAACCGAGTGAGGGTAGCCGGGGATACTATTCCCGGTGACTACGTACGCGCGTGCGACGTCAGTCCTGACAACTGGGAGGAAGTTATGACAATTTCCAATATCCATGCTGCTTTGCAGTTCGTATTTGGCTACGCAAAGACTAGGGGTGAACCCTCGAACAAAAGCCGGACGAGGTTGGGGTCTACATACATACCCATAATCCTCACGAAAGTTTATGACATGTCCGTTACCCAAGGTGCTTCTAATGCTATGGCGTTCCCAGAAGGTGACGAGCTCTGGGCTAACTCAGTGGCCAGAGTGACAAGTAAGCTAGTTGGGTCCCTCAATCCCCGGAAGCCACTATGCTGGAATGTCAGCACCTCGTTGGATGCCGGCAGCCAAGCATTGAAGATGCGCACACTACATGACTACCAGATCGACATACCATGCCTATCAGAATTTCGAATACCCGGCTATAGCTCTCGACAAACCAAAGCTCCTGGTGTGGACGCCTCATTTTGGCTTTACCACAGTGGGTCGGAAGATAATTCTGGCAATCAAGGGGTCGCCGTGGATCTCAACTGCCAGGTGCACTACGCTCTCCTTTCATGGAAGCCAGTATCAGCTAGAATAGCGGTTGCATGATTCAAAGGTCATCCAATGAACCGGACCATAATCTCTGTCTGCGAACCAGCCCCAAGTGACAAAGACCAATTCTACAACACTCTATGGACAGTGGTGAACTATGTTCCAAAACTCCACATCCTCATTATTGCTGGGGACTGGAATGCACGAACCGGTCCCAGGAACGGTCAAACCCGTCACATACTCGGGAGATACGCCCTTGAAGAGCGCTGTGATAATGTAGACCACTTGCTCAGCTTCCATGATGTTAACCGCTTGTGCGTAACCAACACTCACTTCCAGCATCCCAGGAAGCATTTTCTGACGTGGTACACCAACGATGGTAGTACAGCAAACCAGGTGGATGTCCTCCATCGATGACTGTCGAACGTACAGAGGGGCTGAAACAGGCAATAAAGATGGTTCGGACCACGTACTACTGCGCGCCAACTTAAGACTCCGCTTGACAACGCTCCGAAAGACCCTTTCACTAAGCGTATCAATACTGCCCCACTTGAAAATGATGCCTGTTGCCGATCCCTTGAGGCAGCCATAGAAGCAGCAATTCCTGCCAGTGCACCATACCTTGTAATTGCAGAAGATGAATCTGTAGACGCTCTTTGGTCTAGGCCAAAACCGTCAGTTCAACACACCGCCTCATCTACCATGGGCTTTAGCTCTAAACCTGTGAAGGACTGCATCACTGAAGATACTATCCGGTTGTACACTAAAGCGAGAGAAGCACATCTCATGAATTCCCCATACTACCGTCGCTTGTGACGTCAGGCAACGCGTTCAGCACAGAATGATCGCAACCGCTACTGGTCTGTTTTCTCAGGCAAGATGGAAGCTGCATCAAATTCTGACAACTTGGGTCATTTCTTTCGCCTCGTCCGTTTAGATTCCGGCAAGCGCCATTCACCACAGCCGATATTGCGCGAGTCGATGGGCCAAATCATACCCCACACACACCCGGTGGGGGGGGTTGGGGGGGTGGGTGTGGAGGGGGGTCACCCCCCCCCCCCCCCCCCACACAACACACACCCACCCACACCCACACCCTTGGGGGGTGGGGGAAACCCCCCCACACACCACACACCATACACACCCCCCCCACCACCACCACCACACACACACACACCACACAACACACACCCCACACACAACGGTGGGGGAGGGGGGGGGGGTGGGGGGGGGGGGGTGGGGGGGGGGGGGGGGGGGGGGGGGGGTGAAAAAGGTGGGGGTTGGGGGGGGGGGGGTGGGGG